GCCCAATACAGGGGAAGTTAAAGTCATCATAAGAACCAGAGCCTTACTGCAACCCAAAAAACCTGTGACGGTCGCTGACTTCACCATATAACCAGCTTTCCGTTATCCCAATAACAGCCAGGTTTTTGATTACGCATGCAGAATGTCAGACTACCTATGTTCCTGCAGAAAGATCTGATATTAGTTAGAAGGCACTCGAGAAAAAGATCCCTAGTCCGAGGAGAAAACTACCCATTTAAATTATTAGCGCTTTTTTGAGGCTGCTAATTATGCACATCAATCGAATCAATGCGATCAATAACGGCCGCGGGCGACCCGGTCACAGACATTGAAGGTATCGTTCGATTGGTTGCATTGCTACGTCGAGCTTCCCTCTCCTTCCTGGCCCTTTCCCTCTCTTCTTTTGGAAGAGAGGGTCTTAAGAAAATGCCTTTCTTTGAAGGAAGGTATTTCATCTGTGAAGCCCGACGTAGCAGAAGATTGGCAAAGTAAGATGAAGGTAAAAACAATTTCAAGAAGTCTGTCCCTAGAAGGATGTTTTACCTGACCATTCAGTATACCGAAACGGGCCTGCACTCGATTCTCAAAAAATCAAAGATTTGGTCAATACATATGTAATCATTATATTGACCTTGAAACTAGTCCTAGCATTTCTATACTCAGAAATTTCTATCGCTACAACTGATCGTTTTCTTTCCGTTTCTTCACTGGTCAAAGGAGGATTTAATGCAATCAAAGGAGGATTTGATGCAATCAAAGGAGGATTCGATGCAACGTATTTGTTGGACAAGGGATGAGAACTAGGCAAAACAACATAAGATAGCAACTTTTCATATTCTGACTTCAAAATATCCAATTGATAATTCATAGAAAAATTGCTTTCTTGACTCCATCAATCAAGCGATTATTGTACAGGCGTACGTTGGCAAACTCTCGTTTTCTTTAGCAGAGCATGAGCAGCACTCTCCAATTCGGGCGATGGAGACGGATCGAATGCTATCTTCCTTTTTTAGCCTGTCGATAGGATTCAACGGGTAGACGAGTATCCGCCATCTTTAGGTAGAGAATACAAGTAGGAATTCAATAAAGGCCCAGCAGAAATAAGGTGCAAGTGAGCACAAGGTCGATCGATGGCCGGGTCAAGTGAAGGGAAAGGAATCAGTCAAGTCTTTCACAAAACTATGAAAGAACTGACTCACAGACGACGTAAGGGGCTGATGGAAGGTTGACATGCAGTCGGGTAGAAGCATTAGATTCTGCATGAAACCGAGAAACCCAGTAGTAAATCCAGTAGTTGCTCTCGATATAGGGATGCGAGTGAGAGCGAGGATACAGGCAGCCGCTCGGCGGCAGGTCAAGCGGTCGCTTTCGCGCACAATATTGGTGGGAAGTGTCGAAATTCGTAGATATTCGATTGACTTCCTGCCTGGTTGTCGAATTTCCAATGGGAGGTGATAACATCAATCTTATTCGCGAATCCAGAGTCTCCAAGAAAGCTGTTGCATGTGGTGGAACTATTAGATTCTCCCCGTAGGCATACTTTAACTGCGGAGAGGCGAAGATACTGGCATCATGGACAGGTCCGGGAAGTTTGCATTCATGTATATAAACATCCGCGGGCGTCAACAGCAGCCAGTACATCCAGGGCTGTAAAGCCCTTGCGGCAGTGGTACTGACAGCAAGAATGTGCCTGCTTCTGTAATCGTAAGCAGCTTCCGTCGATGGCTCCGATGATATTCGGAGATGCTCCAGTTTAGGCGAAGGCGGCGGCATTCATTCGGCAGAACTCCCCGTCCCCTAATCGGCAGTCAATAAAGTGCCGCACGATTAGGGGATGGTTCAGGCGTGAACAACTACTCTCACGGCATTCGAGACTGTTTTCTAGCCGACACCAAAACCTCTTGGTATGCGTTGCTTGACAAGTAACGTAGAGCCATCACAACCTAAATGAAGAGACGCTAAGTTTTATATTCAATTCAGGAGCCCTTCTTAATGCTAACATGTAAAACATCTATTCAGGCATATCTCTGCTTGTTTGCTAAAATTGGATTTGGATCTAAGGATTTGATCCCTTTACATACCCAGCCAAACCCCGCTCGCACACACTGCGCTAACAGACATATGTCCTAGGAATCTTCTGCATGATTGAGCCATGCATGCGGAATAATTGCGTCATACGAATATGTGCATAACATTAACATTTTAGTAACACGAACCATGGATAAATTAATCTTGGAAATTTGTACTGACCTTGTTCTCTAAACTAACGGACCAATTTGGAGTTTCACTTCCTCCTATCAGCGGCGCGAGCAATCGGCATATCCTCTTTAGACGCGTCTCTTCCATCCAAAACTTCCGCGCCAATATCGGCTGGTTCTGATGGAAAAGTCGGATAGGGTGCAGCTTGCCGTAGCGGATATTGGCACTGTTTCTCACAGCACGGTGCGCAAAGATAAGCATAATTCTGTAACAGACATAGACCAACTGCGCTACCCTGATAATGCATGCAAACATAAGGGTAACGAATTAAAAAATGGAGAAATAGGCGCGCTTACACGAGGATAGTTTCTTGTTGGATTTTCTCTGATTGATTTACCTGCTCTGGAAGAAGAGCATTGCGCAGTTTTGCCTTGTTTGGCAAATGCTTTATAGTACATCGCTACCTATAGCGCACCTCGTGTGAGCTCTGTTATCGCGGTCAACAGTGCTTTGATGACGCGGGGAGATCCTCGTTGTGCGGCGCTCTGCGGATAGCTCGCGATAGCTCGCTTGCGAGATACTTCGAGCTATCATGACATAGTCCCTCTATATTGTGACAACCACGAAGGGTTTACTACGGGCCCCGACCCCCTATAAACTTTCGCGGTTTTTTCATTCTTGGAAATTGAAAAAAAAACGAAAATTGGTATACTTTGAAAGAGCAATCTCCTGAGCATTCTCCAAACAGGTTGTTCCGTAATATGAACTACTGAAAGTATAACAATGAATTATCAGCTTTCTACAAAGGCTATTTTCGAGAATTATAGGCGTTTTCCATGCGTCTTTTTCCATAGCGGGCGTGGCCCTGCAGACATTTGACACGTTGAAAAACTTGTTGAACCTCCAAAGAGAGTTGGTTTTTGTAGTCTCTAGCTATCAAAAACTGCCACGCACACATACGTTGGCAAACGTCGGCAAAGCTCCGCCCGCTATCCTGTGGGGAATAGACGATGTCAAATTTACACAGAGACCGGAAAAACCGAACATACTCGCTTTTTGACCTATTAGTTTGTCCCATAAGTTACTTCATACCTGAATAATTGATTTATCAGTCAATTCATTGAAATAGTTTCTAAAATTTTCATAAAAATTCACTTTAGCCTTATAAAAAAATTTTTTTCGGGGGCGTGGTTAACGCCACGCTCCCTATTTCTGAAATTTTGGGGTTCTGAACCCGCGAAAATTTTATGGAGCATACCAAAAAATTCTCCGGGGTGCGTGGCTGACGCGCACCTTCATCAGAAAAATTTTTTATGCCCCCTCCCTTCCCTCCCCTCTCCCCGAGCCGAATTTTAGGTACGCCACTGATGCACACGAAGGGTGAATAATACAGTATGAAAGTAGCATGCCAAATCGATCTAGTACAAGCGTTTCTACGAAATTCCAAAGTCTCAACTGCACTCACCGCAAGCTTACCAAAGAGATCCCGTGGAAGGTTTGAAATGGTAATTACAGTGTCAAATCACCTCTTGCACTCTATAAAGTATGACGTGCTATGCTTTTCAGCGTATTTTGAAGTTAGAAAAGCGCGATTTTCGATGATCAACTTGGTTGTAGGGACAAAATAATCAACATTTTACTCATAACAAAAAAATGTTTTATGTCGTGCTTTGCTAGAGATGACGCCTCGCATCTTTTTTGAATGATGAAAAAAGTGCTGCTAATGTCTTGGCCCCAAAGACCCGCAGAGTTAAGACAATTCGAAGCTAGCTTGAACACCTCATCCGGAACTTACTAGGTTCGCTCTTGCGATTGATATGAAAAGCGGTAAAAAATGCTATTTTCAGATAAACTTAATGGGGTTAGGCACACCCCTTCTAAAGGCCAGTTCGCCTTGAAAATGTAAAGTGACTTGCTTATAGAGTCTTTCGAAGCACCAGCATATCTGCTTATCGACTGTAGAGGTCTAAATTGGGAGTTCTAGCATCAACTTTGTAAGCAACTTCATTCAATAAATAACGCCATAAAGTTTTGATTGTTCTCCAACTAAGCTTTCAATGCTTTTGACACTCTGCTTTCAAGCTTTAATAATCTTAAAAATGTAAAGGACCCATTTTATAATACTTGAAACACAATACAGTATGAATAAGCTAGTTCTGGCTGGATATAATGTAATTGCAGTGCCATGAATGCGCGGCTAAATATGCGCGTGAATTGTGCCTTTATGGCAGGTTATCTGCCAGCAAAGGTCGGTGTCAAAACCGTGGTAATTCTCCACGCACAAATTTGGCTGTCGCATCGCAAGCACACTACATTATGCGAGTAATGTAACAGCTGTAAGGGTGGGTGATTGCGTCGCGACTTTATTAGCTCTCAAAGGCGAAGGGAAACTCTTAGCGACTAGCAGGACGAAAGAGGCGGATTCGCCTGATATGCCAATTAATGCAAATGCGGTGTCTTGACGAATTCAGTGTGGTTTAGAGCCATTCGATGGACATGCGGTTACTGAATAGAACTACGATCAATTAGCTTGTAAAAATAGCATATTCTAGGGTGCCACATTCTTGCTGAGCGTAGCAACGGGGGCAGATAAAGCTGAGTGAGATGGGTACGAGGTTTCCTAAGAGCAAATAGGTGAAGAAACGGCAGAACAGCAGTTAAGCGATAGGCACTGATCATTCTGGTGATGTAGTGTTTTGGTGCAAACTGTTGAACTGTCTTATCAGCAACATGTTTATCACAGTAACTGCGAAGCAATAATGCAGTTGTAGTGTGGTTTCATTGATTTGACTCGCACTACTATGAGCACTACCATAATGTTCAGTATGTTGCCACCTAAACGGGTACTGCTTTCAAAAGCTTGAATATAAGATGCGGCAATATTTAGATGTTCTCATCATTCTTGCATTGTTACCATTTACGATTTCTGTAACGTGCCGCACATATTCGCCGCAGGAGGAGAAAGGGCCTGTGAGTTCACAGAGCAAAGAATTCCACTAACTTTTTTCTGCTAACCAAAAAAGTATTCTTCTTTGTTTTCAGGAGAATATGAAGAGTTTGTATTGTGCATTCTATATGACGGAACGCTGTCATAAGGGTCACTACTCTGAGGGCCCTGCATGGGGTGCACAACCGGTCTGTGAACTTGCACATTTCTCATAAAGATTGTTAACATTTTTTAAAATTTGTACTCTACTCAGACATTAGTGCCGACGATGCGCGCGCCTTCATAGGCTTTTTGCGCCAGCGGCGCGCCACCGAAACTGGCCATTAATTGTTGTTCTGGAGCAAGTTATAACCCCCACCCCCCCCCCCCCCGAATTTAGTGGCGCATGCTTGTTTGGAGTATGCATGACTGCTCCAAACATAAATGGGGTAGTAGTTAGTTCGTCGGCCTCAGTGACAGAGTCGGTTCCAATTCTGTTACTCTCCGCTTTTTTGCATTCACACAAGAAGAAGAAGACAGGGCAGATTTTATAGGAAATTTTATAGAAATTATAGAGAGTCTTGTAGAGATGTTGCCTTGGCAAGATTAATTTTTGAGAGATTCACAAGAACAAACTTTCCGAAAAGATCATGTTTTTCCAAAGATTAACTTTTCACAAACAATTTGTTGGTTTGCAATTTCCCAGGCAAACTTTTGACCAATCACGATCGGCCAAATCCTTCCTTCCAACATTATTTTCGGATGTACCTAGTAGTCATATGAGAATCTTTAAACTCTATTACGACGTACTTGATCTTTATTATTATGATGCTCCTTGTGAGAATGATATGGCAATATAATCGAAGGAGATTACTCATTTTCACTCGTCTTTTTCCCCAGAAGTACATGGATCAGGTGAAAAATAGAATTTGAGAAACGCAAAAAAAACACGGAAATCAATAGGATTCAAACCCTCATCGGTTACCTGTGAATTCGACGAATTAACTGCTATAGGTCCACGGTGGAGTGGGCATGCATATACTAGACGTGCTAAGAACTTCAGAGGGCTATAACATGCTCTAGAATAACGCGCAATAGTGGGTGCGCATTTGATGCTAAGCTCCCGAGTTCAAGTTCGGGTATTTACCACATCTCAATCGGCCACATATCCTGAGATCCTGCGTGTGCAATAGTCGCAAACTTACCGGTTCTCGCGAACACGCAGACTCTACTTTATCTGCACTAGTCCAGTTTGATGACCTCAAAAATCAAAATCTCTTTGGTGGATTTTTGTACAGAAGATTGTGCACACTCATTACTAGCCCCCCCCCCCCACCCTCAGCCTTCGGTCTTAGTATAGACCATTACACAATCGGCCACTATGATCATGCGGGCTTCCTTTGTAGGAAAGCTCATTGCGGGTGCTATGGTCGTAAACTCAGGGACTCTCGCGACCACATGGAGCCCGATATCAACTGGATCCCCAGTAAATTTCTCATAAAAGTGCCGCCCCTACTAAGATCCGTGCGCTGCCAAAAATCATCATTAAGCACCTTGGATGTCTGATAATGCAAATTTTTACAGTTTGTCAATCTGTGATTATATCGATTAACAGCCAGATAGCCTTCCTGAAAATTTAAGTTTCTTCACAAGGGAGTGTGTTCAAGTCAGAATGGAAAAACAAGGCATTGGAAGTTCTTCTAAATAGGAAGAACCCTTCTGAGTAGAAAGCTATGGATTGCAGGAAATTTGCAGGGCTGAGAGCAGCCAGAATTGTCAACACATAAGCATTCTGAACCAGGCCCGGCATAAGGGCTGGCAGACAGAACGCTTTGAAAGGATGCTACTGACTGCCACTGATTTTAGGATTTTCCTTTGACCTCGCCAACTGCGCAGGCTGCTTAATTGGAGTGTGTTTTCTTACTTTTAACCAGCGATACGTTTGCTATTACGGACTCTAGCAAAGACTTAAAAAAGAATTTTGATGCCAAACTTATCATATTGTAAACTTCAGGTGTAGAACATATAAATAAAATTTGAAAAATTATTGATGTGGAGGTTTTGCCTACCTCTGGTAGGCAAAACCTCCATATCACATAAATTTTTCGTAATTGCCCTGACTTTGATCCTTTTTGGCAGTATTGGCAAATGACACCTATTGTCAAAAAAAGTTGGGCATTTTCTATTTACATAAATGTTTCTGCACAGGTGCGGTTTCCTTCTTATGGGTTAAGATTTGGGGGAAGTTGGGCAATCTGAAAGGCTAAACTTCGTGAAACGCGTCGTTTTCTTTCTTCGGAGCACATCTACATAGCTGTCTTGAACATATCCCTGATTACTGCTGGTTGTGTAGATGCAGGATGCGCAGGTCTTACATTGATAAAGATGTTCTTTGAGCTTTCCTTGCACTGTCCGCACTTTCCGGAGTGTTCTTGATGTCAATGAGACTGATTTTACTAAATAACTAGCTGGCTTACCCGGCTCCGCCGTATCCGGACCAAACTTGGCACACATACACTTTGGGACCCGGCGGGTGTCACAGTCCACTTTTCGTTATCGATCGATGTCGATTTTACCGATTTTTATCGATTTTTTTGCAGAGTTCACCTACAGGGCTAGGAGTTGGCACAGGGGGGAAGTGAGCATGGGGATTCCGAATACAATATTAATTTTCAGAATTATCGATTACTTTTATTGATTTTATCGATTTTTTGTAAATTTTGACATGCGAGGCTGGGATTTTGCACAGGGGGGTAATCGAGCATGCTGATTACGAACACAATATTAGTTTTCAGAATCGTCCATTACTTTTATCGATTTTATCGATTTTTTTTGTAAAGTTTGACCTGCGGGGCTGGGAGTTTGCACAGGGGGGTAATCGAGCATGCAGATTACGCGGAATCTGCATGCTCGATTACCCCCCTGTGCGAACTCCCAGCCCCGTAGCTCAAACTTCGCAAAAAAATCGATAAAATCGATAAAAGTAATTGATAATCCTGAAAACCAATATTGTATTCGGAATCTGCATGCTCGATTACCCCCCTGTGCCAACTCCCAGCCCCGTAGCTCAAATTTTGCAAAAAATCGATAAAATCGATATCGATCGATGACGAAAAGTAGCCTATGACACCCGCCGGGGCCCTTAGCGTATGTATGCCAAGTTTGGTCCCGATCGGTTCAGAAATGGAATTTTCTATTCGGAACATACGTACATGCAGACATACATACATACATACATACAGACATACAGACATTCAGCTTTATATATAAGATTTTCGGTTGTTTTGTGAGGTTACTAACAAGCTCGTAGACGTAGGCTGATTAGATCAACCAGCTTCATTCATCTGATTTTCGAGTTGAAGCTATTCTTTCAGCGTAGCTCATTCCCCCCATCTTGGTTAGATATCAATCGCTCATAATTCAATCGCTCATGTTTATTCCTACCACTTTCCTTTCGAATCTTGCTCTCGCCTGTAGCACGTGTTCTTCGGGGTCAAGTAGCTAGCTTTTACCGGGGGGCTCACTGACGCCCAAAAATAGGGTCTTAATAAATTTTAGAGAAAGCAAGATTCTAGGAAATTGGTTCTTCTGAGTTTCACATGCATAGCTCTTCTTGAAAACATTAACCTGCGACTGATAACTTTGTTGATGGGACAAAATCACTAAATCTGAGAAGTTTATTCTTGTTGAGTGACTCATTGACACAATTTCCTTCAAAATAAATTATGTAATAATTGCGTAGTTCATTCACGAACATATAGGGCATACCAACCACCGTCGGTCGTGGGTACCCGCGGGATGAGGCTGCAAGGGCGCGACGCAGGCAGCGAAATTAGTACCCGAGCGCGAAAGTCTGCTAATAGATCTGTGGCTAGGGTTGAATTATCGCTATTTTCGCAAAATTTCTTGCTTATTTGTGAAATACTTCTCTCGCAAATCTGTCGAACTTCATTTCGTACTTGACTGCTGTTAGGATATCTCGTTTTCCATTTTCACGCAATATGAGCACCATGAGCACCCTGAAACTTTTTTCATGCAAATTGTTATTAGGTAATGCAGCTTTGTGTGACTGTGATTCAAATTTGATACTTTGATCATATCAATTTTGAGATTAGGAGACTTGAGAACGTTGCACATGTTGTTCAACAAACTTGAACATGTTCGTCCTTCAATCTCTAGTAGTAAACCAACCAAATGGGGTAAAAAACAATAACATTTTCTTTTCATGCTTGTGCAAAGCGTGCTCGAGACTCTTCAACTCAGAATAGGTGATATTTGTGCGTGAATAAGCAAAAGATGCGCTTCACCATCCCTGCTTGAACACTCTTAACCGAATAGCGCCACCACCTGAAATGGTTAGTAATCGATACAAGCACGGAATCTGATGCCTAACAAGAGAACAGAAGGTAAACACGGGTTGAATGAACGCCATGACTCTAAGAACAAAGCTACTTTTCGCGCTCGAGTGCAATCTTCTTCGCTCGCGTAGCGCGCGCGCTGCCTCATCCCTTGGGTACCCACGACCGATGATGGCTGGTATGCCCTATACCTTCGATAGTCAAGAGACAGAGCCTAGAAAGTGATAGTTGTTTGAGTTCTAGCCCCCTATAAAAAGTGAAGGTTGTTTTAGAAAAAATAGATGGAAATTTAGAGATCTGAATTGGACCAGGAAACTTGAAAAATTCGTATAAAACAGAGGCTAACACCAAATTTAAAACCTTATCTTGGTGGTTTCCTACGCACATTTTTGTCTTCAGAATTGCCGGTTAAATTGGGTGGCAACAGAAACAAAGTTCTTTTCTAATTGAAAAAAAGCGTTAGCTGTGGCGGTAGTTGGGAGACCGAAAGAAGGCAAACTTGTCAACAACTGAACTGAACATGTTAAACATGTCTGAAAAGTTATGCTGCACATCGACGCCAATCTGATTTTTGACGCGTCCTTTGATTTTTCACCCCCGCATGGTTGTTTCGTATCCTGCGACGTTGTCTAGATTCTTCCGCTCATCATTCTGAGCAAGTAACGTCCAAGCTGGAGAAAATTCGTTGCAAAAGCATTGAAAAAGAGCAAGATAAAGAAAAACGCACTTTTTGGTAATTTTCACAAAAAAACTGGCATAAGCAAAGAAGTAAGCTCGGCGACGTTGTCTACATCATAGACAGAAACAAGACTTATCGAATACACAAAAAAACCGAGCGAAGAGAGTTGAAC